TCACGATGCTGCCAATTGGCCCAGTGGTGAGAATCTTTGTCTTTTTGATATTGAGCTTCAGTCTATATTAAAGGCTGCAGTCCTTGACTTTCTGCAGCAAACACTTCAGGTCCTCCTTAGTTTCAGCAAGCAGGATTGTGCCATCTGCATAACACAAATTGTTGATGAGTCTTCCTCCAACCCTGATGCTACATTTATCCTCATAGAACCTAGTCTCCTGGATAATATGTTCTGCACCTAGATTGAAAAGGTATGGAGATAGGACATCCCTGGTGTACACCCTTCCCAATTTTGAACGATGCAGTGTTCCCTTGCTCAGTTCTGACAACTGCCACCTGGTCCAAGTATAGGTTTCGCATAAGCACCATCAAGTGTTCTGGGATTCCCATTCTTCTCAGAGTCAGCCACAGTTTGTTGTGGTCCACACAATCAAATGCCTTTGCATAATCAATGAAACACAGACACTCCTCTGGTACTCCCTGATTTCAGTCACGAGCTATCTAACATTAGCTACAATTCCCTAGTACCATGACCCCTTGTAAAGCATACATATAGGACTAGTCAAATTCTAAAATCTGTTAAGAAGCTAATGAAACTTCCTGTGAATGGGATTGGTATGTTTTTGAGTGAGTCTCACATTGCTATAGCTGTTTTGATGATTTGAAAGCTCAGAGAAAAGCATACTGTATGCTAAAATGGTATCTGAGTCTTCGCGCCTCCACAGTCTCCGGCGCCCGTAGGCCCGCGGCACCCACGCTCGCGCGCTGTCCGCCTGCTGTCCCCGCGTCCCGGCCCCTGCGAGATGACGCTGAAGGCGAGCGAAGGCGAGGGCGGAGGTGGCATGCGCACGGCGCTCTCGGACCTCTACCTGGAGCATTTGCTGCAGAAGCGCAGCCGGCCAGAGGTGAGCGGAGCCGTCCGAGGAGGGCAGGCGGGGGCGCCGGGGCAGCCCGGCTGCACCCCGGCCCCGGGGCAATGGCGGGCCCCGGAGGGGCAGACTGAAGCGGCAGCAGCGCCCGACAAGCCAGGTGGGCAGCCGGGGGACCGAGGCCCTGCGAGCGCGCAGGCAGGTCTCAAAAAACTTGGTGGACGGCGGGCCGGGGACAGGTCGGCTGGCCGCCTGGAGGTGCCTGGGTTCATGCCGGCCGGCAGGGTTATAAACGCCGGCCTTGGACTTCAGCGCCCTTGCTCCCGTCTCCTGAGTACATCTGTGGGTGGAGTGAGACTGCGAGGCTTCTGGGGAACGGCTGTTAACCTCGATTGTCTATTGCGGCTGAATGGCTTTCCCCCAGGTCAGCGACCTGCTTCTTGTTTTTGTGCCTGGGCCCGGGCTTGGACCCAGAGAGGGGGTAACCACCTGGCGGCCTCTCACAGTGGCCTGGGCTTCCTCACCGCCTTGTCCAGAGAGAACACACACCCCACACGGATAGGCCGAAGCTGTCACTTCCAGACCTGGATCTGCTTGTTCAGACCTCTCTAGTTGTAGGGCCTGGAAGAGTGGGGCCCTGACTTGCTGGCTGACTCCATAGATGACTAAAGAGGGAAATACTGGAGATTAACTGTAACTCTCTGCCTTTACAGATAAGAAATTGAGTAATACGAGGTAGGTAATATGGCGGAGTGGCCATTGGGGCCCCTTCGGGCTGGACGGAATTCGCTCCGGGACAATTTACAAGCCTCAGAACTGAAGCTAGATTGTGTGTGTGCAGTCACAGTTCATGCCTGCTTTACCACGTCACCTCTCCTAGGCTCACATGAGAAACGGAACAAACAGTATCTCTGTCAGATGACATGACAACATTGAAAATCACATGGTAGAGCGTTCACTAGAGGGGCATTGGGTTCTTGCACTACCTAACTTTCTGTGGGCAAATTTTCCCTTCCCGACAATTGAGAGGTTACTTGGCTGAGCCATAGCTTTTATCTATTTATTTCTTTTTGTTCAAATTTTACATACCAACTTCTGTGACACTGAATACATTCTTCTGGTTGTGCATTCACCACCACTGTCATTTATCAAATTATTCTACCAACATTAACACAACTCAGTGTCCCAGTGCTCCCTAAACAAGAGCTCCCCTTTCTTGCCTCCCTCCCCTGTTTTTATGTGCCACCGATTCAGAACCGACTGGGGAGGGGGAGTTCTCAGGCAGGAGATTGCCCATCCTGCTCCCACAGAAGAGCAGCTGCTGGATTAAAACCTTGTGCCTTTGGGGTTGCAGTGCAGGTTCTTACCACTAGGTCACCAGAGCTCCCTCCACTAGTAACAACTGAAAAAAGTCTGCGGTTTCATATGAGTGAGATCATGCAGTATTTGTCCTCTGCTGACTTCACTCAGCAGTGTTTTCAAGGTGCAGCTATTGCTGCATATTTCTTTTTCTCTGTTTTGTGACTAGAGCTACATTGAAAATTAGTAAGTGTGCAGGTTTCTGTGTTCCTACCTTCACCTCTGGGTGTATGTGTAGGGTTCGATTGCTGGGTTGTGTGGTGGTGCTATGTTCTACTTTTTAAGGAAGTGTCAAACGGTTTTCCACAGTGGCTGTATCATTTTACAACCTCGCCAACACCTCATTTCCCATTTTTATGATCTGTGCCATTCTAATTGGGACAAGTTAGTATGACTCTCAACAAGATGTACTGACACTGTGACTACCAGTGGGCCTAAGCATGGCAGAGCTCATAAAGATGGCACCGAATAGGGCAAGTTCCAGTCTCTTGGAATTTGGGCGAGTGAAACGAGGGTTGTACTGAGTCATGAATGAAAGGCGCCCTGGTGGTACAACAGTTAAGCACTTGGCTGCTAACTTCAAGGTTGGCAGTCCTAACCCATCTCACAGCCCTGTGGGAGAACGGCTGGGCAACCCACTTCCATCAGCTAGCTTAGAAAACCTTAAGGAGGCAGCTCTGCTCTGTCACATGGGGTCACCGTGAATCAAAATTGACTTGATGGCACCTAGTAAAGGCAATAGCGACTAGGAGACTCAGAAAGTCTGCTGTCAGGGGCCTCTCTAAATTGCTAAAGAGTAATGATGTCAATCTGAAAACTAAGGCATCTCTGATTCCAGCCATGGGCTTTTTAGTCACTTGCTCTGCATCTGAGTGCTAGACACTGACTAAGGCTGACAGAAGACTTGATGCCTTTGGCTGGGTTGTGGGATGAGAGTGCTGAATATCCCATGGATGGCCAAAAGACCAAACAGATATGTCTTGGAGAGAGTGCAGCCAGAGTGATCCTTGGAGCCAAAGATGCCAGAGTTTTGCTTCATGTACTTTGGGCTTGTTAAGAGAGGCAGTTCCTAATGTTGGAGAGAATGTGGCGAGATAGGAACTCTTATACACTCTAAAATGGTACAACCACTCTGAAAGGCAGTTTTGAATTTCCTCAGAAAGCTGAACATAGAAATTCCATATGACCCAGCTATTCCATTGCTTGAAATATACCCCAAGAGAATAAGAACTGAGGCATAAACGGAGATTTGTATACCAGTGTTCATAACTGTGTTGTTCACCATCGCGAGAACATGGAAACAGCCCAAATGTCCAACCACAATCGAATGGATTGAGAGATTATGATACACAATGGAATACTACGCAGCACGCAGGAGCAATGTTTTTGTAAATTACTACCTAACTTGGGAGGGAGGACTGGAGCATTATGCTAAGTGAGCTAATTCAGTCCCTTAAGGACAAAATCTGTATACGGCCATTATTGTAGAACAAGTATGAGGATCCAAGGAGGGCAGGAGGGAGCAGAGGGTTGAGGATGGAAAGGTGGGGAGATGTTAATCATAGGGTCACACAATTTGATGTGTGGAGGGAGGGATGGGTAAAGGAAATGAGAAAGATCTGGTGTGAAAAACAATGTATATGAACTTTGTAAGTAAACCAGTGTCAAATAAAAGTTCTATTTCTTTTTTTTTTTTAAAAAGAGAGGCTGTCCCTTGGAATGACACACAATGCTTGGGTAGGTGGGTCAGTGAAGGAGAGGAAGACCCTCCATGAGATAGGTTGAGATCAATCCTCTTATATCCTAGTTTATCAGTAGACATTTTGGTCTGGCTAAATTGTTTTTAAATTTTACTTTAAAAAAAACCACCAAACCCCAAAAATTTAACCAACTAAAATGTCCACTGATAAACTAGGATATAAGAAAATTGATCTTCACCAAAAATATCTATTCCTGATATTCTAGTTTGGCATCTTGCCTAGGGAAAACAAAGCGCTTAAAATAGGTTAGCTTATCTTCTCTAACTAAAATACAGTATAGAATTTTCATGATAAAACGCTAATCTATTAAGCCTTAAGTGGCCACAATAAAACCTGATTCTTATCTGCAGGCCACCTAAATCCACCTTCTTGTTTTGAAAATAAATTCATAATGTTCCTGGAAGAGAAAGGCAGGGAAAACAGACTGGCTAAAACCACACCATAGACTGGAAAAAATGGCATGAAGACTAAGTCATCTGAAAATTATGCTTATTTTCTTTCATTCCTATGAAATGAGAAAGTTGGAATGGAAACACTCCTTCCTCAAATTAATAAATTAGAGAATATAAGTTTACCTATTTTAAGTGCTTTGTTTTCCCTAGACAGTATACCAAACTAGAATATCAGGAATAGATATTTTTGGTTAAGATCAAGTCTCATATCCTATTTTATCAGACATTTTGGGCTGGTTAAATCGTTCTTGAATTTTATGTTCTTGTGCTTATCAAGTTTATATACATTCTGTACACTATTCTTCATTCACATTGTGTTTTATACCCTCATTCTCATTCATTACATTTTGTAAACTCAGTCCCCATTGAACCATGCCCATCATTACCCCATCTTTTCAGGTCCCCAAATTGGTTAATTCTTTCTTGTGCTAAGTGGCATACCTATCGGGACAATTGAACACTGCTCTAGACATTGTCAGTGCCCCCAGTGCTGCTTCAATGTCTTTTCCAGGCAGAACAGTGCTCCTAGTGCTTCCTGTTTTCTCCTGAGGCATGTGTGTACATAGTGCATGGGACAGATCAAAGGCAAGGGCACAGCACTTGGATTTCTCTCTGTCTTCTTGAATGGACTTAGTGCCTTAGAAAGAAAGTGCCTAGTTAATGGTTGATTTTGATGCTGCTTCCAGTAAAAGCAGTTCTTAGACTTTCCTCTCCCCGCCCTGTGCCCTCGACTCTGCTCAGTAGTGTTGCCTAGCCAGAACGAATCCTGGTCTAATACCTTGGAGCACTTGGGTTTTTTCTCGGGTTCTCAAAGAAAGTCTCCACTGTTGCCACAGAGCAGCTGGCAGAGAGTCTACAGCACCGATGTCTGTACTTCTCTGCCTTTTCTGTTCAGTGCTTGGAATGGAAAACCACTTTCCGTTGCCCAGGCTCTTTCCACCCCTACCCCCACTGCCAAGTTTGTTTTTCATCTCCTTTTCAATTCCAGCTTCCTCTGAACCCTGTTGCAGATGTTTCCTCGAAAGGGGATTCAGAGCGGCCCACTGCCTGGCTCTGCCAGATAGAGCAGCGTGGGGGCAGGAGGGGCTAAGAGGGCTGTGGCTCTCGCCTTTCTCCTGAATCCTTTTAGCTAGGGTCACTTCCACCTTGGGGTGGAATGGGGAGAGGGAAGCCATTCGGTAGACTTGGTGTGCCAGTAGCCCGCCCTCTCCTAGCTGAACCTGTGCAAGGAGAGGGAGATTGCCCATCTTTTCCCCACAGAGCTGCTGATGGATTCTAACCATCTGCCTGCAGGTTGGCAGCTCCCTGCCAACTCCCTACCAGTGGGGCTTCCAGAGCTCAAAAAATGCAGATGTATGCCTTGATCTTCTTTCAAGGAAGATCCTTTTCAGACCAAAGCACTGTTCTAGGTGCTTATAGTTGTTGTTAGGTGCCATGGAGTCAAGTCTGACCCACAGTGACCCTA